CTAAAACTATACAGAAATACACTACGGAAAAAGAAGGAACAGCATGTCAGAAATCAGCTCAATGTAATTGAAGAATCCATAGACTCTAACCACTTCTGGGAAAATTGGAAAACACTAAACAAACAACAACACGAAGAGCTATCTATCCAAAATGGAGATGTATGGGTAAACCACTTCTCCAATCTTTTTGGCCCTATAACAGAGAACAAACAGCAAAAAAATATACATGATCAAATGCAAATCTTATAATCAACTTTTAAAGACTACCAGAACCCACTGGATTCTCCAATTACATTGAATGAACTACAGGACAAAATACAAACCCTCCAACCCAAAAAGTCCTGTGGTGTTGATGGTATCCTCAATGAAATGATAAAATATACAGACCACAAATTTCAATTAGCTATACTTAAACTCTTTAACATCATCCTTAGCTCTGGCATCTTCCCCAATATTTGGAACCAAGGACTGATCACCCCAATCCACAAAAGTGGAGACAAATTTGACCCCAATAACTACCGTGGGATATGCGTCAACAGCAACCTTGGGAAAATCCTCTGCATTATCACTAACAGCAGACTAGTTCATTTCCTCAGTGAAAACAATGTACTGAGCAAATGTCAAATTGGCTTTTTACCAAATTACCATACGACAGACCACGTATTCACCCTGCACACCCTAATTGACAAACAAACAAACCAAAACAAAGGCAAAGTCTTCTCATGCTTTGTTGATTTCAAAAAAGCTTTTAACTCAATTTGGCATGAGGGTCTGCTATACAAATTGATGGAAAGTGGGGTTGGGGGAAAAACATACAACATTATAAAATCCATGTACACAAACAACAAGTGTGCGGTTAAAATTGGCAAAAAACACACACATTTCTTTCCACAGGGCCGTGGGGTGAGACAGGGATGCAGTTTAAGCCCCACCCTCTTCAACATATATATCAATGAATTGGCGAGGGCACTAGAACAGTCTGCAGCACCCGGCCTCACCCTACTAGAATCTGAAGTTAAATGTCTTCTGTTTGCTGATGATCTTTTGCTTCCGTCACCAACCAAGGAGGGTCTACAGCAGCACCTAGATCTTCTGCACAGATTCTGTCAGACCTGGGCCCTGACAGTAAATCTCAGTAAGACAAAAATAATGGTGTTCCAAAAAAGGTCCAGTTGCCAGCACTTAAAAGGCATAGCGCCTCAAGTACAAAGACGTACTTTGCTTTCATATTTTTATTGTGTTTTTTTGTATGTTTTTTGTTAAATGTCTGCTCAACCCACACGCTCTATATATGTAATGTATACAATAACTATGTACTGTATTTACTATGATTTTCCCATTCTATGGAATGCCCACCGCGCTCATACACTACCGGTCAAAAGTTTTAGAACACCTACTCATTCAAGGGTTTTTCTTTATTTTTGCTATTTTCTACATTGCAGAATAATAGTGAAGACGTCAAAAATATGAAACAATTTATTTGCAGATGATCTCCTGATATACCTGACCAATATTGAAAACTTGATGCCCCCTTTGCTAAAAATATTTTCAGAATACTAAAAAATCTCAGGATCTAAAATTAACGTGGGAAAAAACGAAATAATGTCAATAGGAAAAATTTAATTGAATAATCTTCCTATAAATCTTAAAGGCAGAATAAACCTCTAGAATGGCATGGCTCCCAAAGTTTTTGTATTTATTTTCGCTAATACCAATTTAAAAGACATTCTTTTAAAAAGTATACTCAGTCATAACAGACTTTATATGGGCTAATAAAATTCATAGAATAAAAAGGAAAGTTTTACATCTTCCTAAGTCTGAGGTTGGTTTTAACTTTCCAGACTTGGAATTGTGTCAACTCGCTACCAAAGTATTTTACTTGCAACATATAGTTGAATGCACTAAAGCTGAACAATGGGTACATATTGAAGATGCACATGCTCATCCCCAGAATATTTTTACATGTCTATTTTCAAAGGATAAAGCTAAGAACATGAACAACTTCATAGTTAAGAACACTATAAAAATATGGAATAAAATTAAACGTATTCTACAATAACCAATATCACTCCCTAAAAACACAACCTTATGGAACAATCCTTGGATAGCTTTTCAGAATTGTCCGAAAAATTCCACATGGAAAACTAAAGGCATAGAAACCGTAAATGACTTGGTAACAGGAAATACATTTATTTCCATGACAGAATTAAAAAGTAATTTTGGACTGACCAATGTAGATAGTTTCAAATACATTAAAGTTACATATCACGATTTGAACTCTTTTGGACATCACATCAATCTTGAGGGAATCTTACTTGAGTCAGAAAATGACGTTCATATGATAGGTAAGATATACAAAACCTTGCAGAGAGCCTATCCAACTGACAATCTCTTAGAAAAAAATATAAACTATTGGAACCAAGACTTAAAAAGAACTGATGTTGGTACAGGATGGAGGGAAAGTTGAAGTTATGAAATTAAAGTTAACGAAAGTGTACGTTTAATCCAGTATAAACTAATGTATAGAATGTATTATACAAGAGACAACATTCCCAAATTCATGTCTTAAGTGTAAAACTAACAATGATTCAATAATCCATGCTTTCTGGGAATGCTATAACGTCATAAAGTTATGGGTGGAGACAGAAAGTTGGCTGTCAGAAGTATTACAATGTAAACATACTTTTAATCCTTCTGTCTGCATGTTTCAAGACATGGCATATGGGGGTGTAGTGAAAAATACCCAATAGGCTGGAAGATTCTCTTCTCATCACTCATCTTGAAAAAACGTAACAAACAATGATGCAGGCACTAGGGATGGAGGTGTGAGCATGCGGGTCTGGGCAGAGGAGATGTAGTTGTTGTTTGTGTGTGTCTGTAAATTGTTGTTAGTTTGTTTGTTTGTGTAGGTTTGCTTTTAGTGTGAAATAAATAATGTTAAAAAAGAGAGAGATAGAACATAACATTTAAAATGTCTTCAGGGTAAATCCATTTGAATTCAATCCCTTTTTGACAGCAGCCTTTTTTATTTGAATGAAACCTTCCATAAATATTTGCCCATGTAGAAGTGCTTAGAATGTGACTTTTTGGACCTGAATTCAAGAAACATTCAAGAGATAAAGGTGCTCAAAGTTTACCCATTTTGCATACCCAACCATGCCATGAGACATCCATGTCTTCATTACTGGAAAAGATAAACGGTTAAGATTGATATCACTTATAATTTCTGGAGAAGTTTTACCTTTAACCTCAATTATCTAAAAACATGTAAACTCCAATTTTTTCATACACTATATATACAAAGGTATGTGGACACCCCTTCAAATCAGTGGATTCAGCTATTTCAGCCACAACCGTTGCTGACAGGTGTATAAAATCGGGCACACAGCCATGCAATCTCCATAGTACATTGGCAGTAGAATGGCCTTACTGAAGAGCTCAGTGACTTTCAACGCGACACCGTCAACAAGTCAGTTCGTCAAATTTCTGCCCTGCTAGAGCTGCCCTGGTTTTCATGGTTCGGGCTAGGCCCCTTAGTTCCAGTGAAGGGAAATCTTAACGCTACAGCATACAATGACATTCTAGACGATTCTGTGCTTCCAACTTTGTGGCAACAGTTTGTGGAAGGCCCTTTCCTGTTTCAGCATGACATTGCCTCTATGCACAAAGCGAGGTCCATACAGAAATGGTTTGTCAAGATCGGTGTGGAAGAAATTGACTGGCCTGCACAGAGCCCTGACCTCAACCCCATCGAACACCTTTGGGATGAATTGAAACACCGACTTGCGAGCCAGGCCTAATCGCCCAACATCAGTGCCCGACCTCACTAATGCTCTTGTGGCTGAATGGAAGCAAGTCCCCACAGCAATGTTCCAACATCTAGTGGAAAGCCTTCCCAGAAGAGTGGAGGCTGTTATAGCAGCAAAGGGGGGACCGACTCCATATTAATGCCCATGATTTCGGAATGAGATGTTCAGAGAGCAGGTGTCCACATACTTATGGTAATGTAGTGTATTTCTCTCTGTGTGTTGTAATGTGTTTCTCCCACCTGGCACGCCCCTGAGCCCCGTCTCTCACACACACCCAGGGACAAAGAGAGGGAGTGGGAAGGAGGAAGGAAGGACACGGAGGAGAGGAAAGGTGGAAGGATGGCAGGAATGCTAAGAGGCATTGGTGCATTCTTACCATGGTGGTGAGGATGTACTTGTAAAACGCTGATGTCATCCCCAACTCTGACGCCTGTGGAGAGAGAGAGAAGCGAAGGAGGGAGGGGAGGCGAGACAGAGAGAAGGAGAGCAAGATAGAAAGTAAGAGAGAAGAGAGGGGGAAGATAGATGGAGAGGGGAAGTGGTGGGAGACAGAGTGAGGGCGAGAAGGACAGAAGCAGAGAGAGAGAGATGGAGAGAGAGAGAGGGATGAAGAGAGAGAGAGGGATGGAAAGAGAGAGCTTACCATAACCACATTGTTAAATTGTCAAACTTGCACAATAAAGCTTAAGCCAGGGAGCAGACAGAGCAGAGAGCAGTGGTAATGCATGTACTGACAGACAGACACAGTTCTATATAAAGGCCAATCTCTGAGTCACTCCTGTGCTCTGACTGCTGTCGCTACAAGCTGTACAATATAAATGATCATAACACCTATGGACCCATTATCACCACTGAATATGGATCACCGCATGTCAAACAGACAAGCTGTCATTACGATTTAAGCTGCTTAAGATAATTGAACCATTGTTGCTCACTATATAACTTCACAGGGTTCTCTGCATTACTGTCCTGTGTCCAGCAAGCAACAATCATCAGTCAAATTGTTATTTAACTAGAAGTTGACCCAGACCACAGATCTAGGATCAGATTATCATACCATGGGCCCTGATACTAAATCAGTCATTAGGTACAACTTCTCAGCCTGATCTCAGATCTGTTTGTGCTCTACAGGCGACAACTCATGTAGCTACTCTATAAAAGCCACCCCAGCACTGAGGCATGAACCCTGACCTTTTTGAGGATGAGGTAGGAGATGGAGGCGTTGGCGTCGATGATGATGGTGGCCACCTTGTCGTCTCGTATCTCCTTCAGCAGAGGGGTGGGGTCCAGGCTGTCATCCAGCATCCTGATTGACAGTGTCTCCCTGGAGATCAGGAAGCGCCGCACTAGCTCCTCCAATCGCAGAAGGCCTGAGGGGTGGAGCCGGGAGAGAGCCGGAGAGAAGGAGAAGAGAAGGGATAGAATAGACATTTTAAGTGAGACTTCATTTAACATCCCACAAACAAACATGGGATGTTGGAGATTGGCATGGTAAAACGCATAGAAACTGTACTGTACTGGTAGTTCTAACAAGAGATACTATAAATCAGGTTCTGAGAAGGATTCAATAATTATATAGTGCTAACCTACCACTATGGCATTGATATAGAATTTGACATTGTTGCCTATTGCATGTATATTGTATAGCACTGTGAAATGTATCACAATTCTGAGAGAGACGATGTGGTTGAAAGCAAGTGAAAAAACGGACCCACCAATCCACTACGGACAGACTGGTAATTACTTAGCAACATACATAGCAACAAGACCAACTAGGGACAAGCCAAACAGAAAAGCTAAATGAACGGCTACTTCTTTCTCTCCCATTGCAATGCACAATATCAAAAGTCTCCAGTGACGACATGATGCATGTGATGCATCAACACATGACGCATTCGTTCCTCAAAGCATTCTGTACTGTATATATATATACAGTACTGTAGCTAGTCCCTGGGCCAAACACTATGGAATAGTCCTTAGGATTTAGAATATAAACTCTAATTCCCATTCTAGTTCTATATTCTCTAGTAAAACGCTGCTGGAAAAGTAAATAAGAGGAGCTACCAGCGTCTGGGGAGCTTCACAGGGAGCCAGAGGGGAGAGAGAGGAGGGAGGGAGGGAGGGAGGGAGGGAGGGAGGGAGGGAGGGAGGGAGGGGGGAGGGGACAGGGGCCTCCCGGAGAGCAGGCCTGTAAGCAGTGTGATAATCACCGAACCAGGCCAAAAACTTTAATTAGTTTGAAGGAGGAGAAAAATCAATATTCTCTCTCTAGCTTCCTCTCTCTCTTTATCACACTCTCTCACTAACCTAACCTCTCCTTCTCTCTCTCTAACTTCTCTCTCTTTCCCTAACCTCTCCGTCCCTCTCTATCTCTTTCTCTAGCTCTTTTTTCTCTCTCCCTCTTTCTTTTCTTTTCCTGGTCTCCCCTTTGCTCTCCATCTCCTTTCTCATCATCTCTCCCCGATCCCTCTATTCCTCTCTCCAGCTCTTTATCACCATCTCTCTCTCCCTACCTCTTGCTTTCTCTCTCTCTATCCCTCCTCTAACCTCATCCATCTCATAAAAACTGCATAATGGCACTAGATTAATAGCTGGATGTGACCCATACATAACTAGAGAAGGAAACCTCCAAAATGGCCTAAAACCACGGATACACCCTCCTTTAAAATCATTTCAGTGAGCCAAAAAGAACCGGAAAACGCCTGGAAATCAACATAAAAAGTATTTTTTATCATGCAGCAACCGAATGGACAATATAAGAAGAGAAAAATAAACCATCTTGTCTCCTTGCGTTACTCAACCACTACATCTGATATGTGATGGACGGCAGTTATATCCGGACCTATCTCACAAACAAACACAACGTCCACTTTTCCTGAAAGCCACTTGACGGAGGTAGATGGAAAAATATGAAAACCCCTGTTGGTTGTAACCATGGTGTGTTCATCCTATATCTCTCTGCAGCACACTGACTGCATGTGCGTGTGTGTGGAGGGAGTCAGGCAGTCAGCCTGTTGAGTGGCAGTTAGCACCTATTCTGCAGCCATGGCAACCAGCAGCTCAGCACAGTGATAGCTCCCACAGCCAAGTGGGTCAGAGAGTGTGGGTAACGGTAACCTTGACGAGATCACTTCCCAGACAAAAATAGAGCCTCATCTGCCCCCGCAATCACTATATCACCATGACTACCGTACCTGTTGCTTTTAAAACCTCTTCCAAATATGAGAGAAGCTTTTTGTAAACACATGAAATAGATACAAGTCTCACATCAGAAAATGGAAGGAAGGAAGTATGCCTGTATATCACATGAAAATCACTGATCATATCGGTGTACAGTTTCTGATGTATTTCAAAGGGTCTCATGTTCAAAGTGGCAAGTCTATGAAGAGGAGAGGAGCTCTTCATTTTCTGAGACTGAAACAGAATTACAGCTCTTTGGAATAATTACTGTGCATCAATATTTAAATCAATAGTCTGGAGGCCGACAGGTGGTTGACTGTCTGTCCAAGTGCTGGAGGATGAGTAAGAGGTAGATACTGTTGGAGTGTGATTTGTATGGACCACGTGTTGTGTTGTTTGCATGTACAGTTTAGTGAACTTTAAGAGCAGCCTGTTAGAATGAGTGTCTAACAGCAGGACAGTCATATTCGCCCAGAGTGTGAATGTGCCAAGATGCCGTGAGCTCGCACAGGGAGTGTGAGTTACACAAACACACACATGCACACACACAATTACACATTCACACACATCTACAATACATGCGTGCACACACACACACACAAGCACACACACACACACACACACACACACACACACACACACAGTACTCACACTCGGCCTTGGCGCAGACCAGGCTGGCTGAGGGGTAGCTGAAGGATCTCAGGATGGCTGCCACGGCCAGGCTCAGGTCCTCGTTGCTAGGGTACAGACTGACCGAGGCAAAACGCAGGTAGGGCAACCTGGGAGTCTCCTCTGGACCTATCTTTACATGAGGGATCTGGAGAGGAGAGGAGGAGAAGGAGGAGGAGGATGAGTAAAGGAGAGAGGAGAGAAGAGAGGAGGGAGAGGGGAGGAAAGGGGAGAGGGGAAGGAGAGGAGAGGAGAGGAGAGGAGAGGAGAGGGGAGGGCTTTTCTTTAAAAATTTTACTTTTTAAATTTTGGGGGGGGGGCAAAACCGGGGGGGTTTTTTTTTTTTTCGACAGGTTGTTTTGAATTTTTCCCCCCTTTTCCCCGGGGGGGCCCCAAAAGGGGGGGGGCCCCCGAAAAAAAAAAAAAAAGGAAAAAAAAGAAAAAAAAAAAAAAAAAAAAGGGGGGGAGGGGTTGGGGGATAAATTGGGTTGGGGGGGGGGGGGAAAACCCCCCTTTCCCGGGGGTTTGGTTTTTGGGGGGGGTTAAAGGGGAAAAGGGGGGAAGAAAGGGGGGAGGGGGAAGAGAAAGGAGAAAGGAAAGGGGAAAGGAAGAAGGAGGGGAGGGAAGAGGGGAGGAAGGGGGGGGGGGAAAAAAAAAGGGGAAAAAAATTTAAAAATTAAATTTTAAAAAAACAAGAAAAAAACCCAAAAAAAAAGGGAAAAGGGGCGCAGAAGGGGGGAAGGCCGATATTCAAAGGGAAAACCAGTTTTAAAAACAGTTGGAGGAGCCCCGAAGGGAGGGAAGGGAGGGGAAGAGAGGAGGAAGAGGGAAAAAAGGGGGAGACAAAAGAGAAGAGGAGAGAGAGGGGGCAGAGAGAGAAAGGGGGAGAGAGGCGGGGAGGAGAGGAGAAAAAGAGGAGAAAAAGGGGAGGAGAGAAAAAGGGAGAGAAAAGATTAGAAAAAAAAAAAAAAGAAAAAATTATTTGGGGGGGGGAAAAAAGAAAACCCTTGGGAATAAAAAAAAAAAGGGGAAAATTTAAAAAAATTTAGGAGGAGGGGAAGAAAAATAGAAAAATAAAAAAAAAAAAAAAAAAAAAGAAAAAAAAAAAAAAAGGGGAAAAAGGAAAAAAAAAAAAAAACAAAAAATTTTTTAAAATAAATTTTTGGGGGGGGGGGAAAAAAAATTCTGGTGTGATATGTGGCAGTCTTTGTTTCTGAATGCTTGGGACTTCAACAACTCTTACCACTCTCTTGCTTGTCGGGTGCTTACATCTTTGTTGCTATAAATGTTGAAGTGCAGTCTATTGTTTCTAATGCTTGTGGACTTCAGAACTCTTACTCACTCCTTGCTTTGTCCTTTAACCCTCTGGCTTGGTTCCATTATGCCACCTTCCCTTCACGGGCAGAGGGAAGGGAGTGAGTTTGTAGAGTGGAACCTAGCCATTGCCTACACCTTTAAATGATCTATTTTCCTTTGTGACCACTGATGGGAAAAGGATGGAAACGTAGCAACATGGTGGAAACTCCATCTTGCCTACTGTTAGGGCATGTTCAGTCTGTCAGTCAGTCTGTTCTGTCTCATAGTTAATCTCATCAATGCCACTGACACACTGATCAAGGCCAACATGTCTTCCTGCCACACTGCACTGTGTCACAGTAACCATGGTTGAACCTAGACAGTAACAGGGAAACAAGGCCTCTGAGTCAATGATTGACAGGGGGCAATAATCGCACCCATCATGGGGCTACAGTAAGTTTATGGGTGCATCTTCACGTCAGCTGAAGGAAATGAGGCAAGGAGAGGAAGCTGCTTCAGACTATTTAGATTCACCCTGGGCTCCATTTCATTCCTCTCCATCACTCCATCCTCATCACCCATAACCTCTGGCGTGTGTGTGTGTGTGTGTGTGTCTGTGTATCTGTGTGTGTGTGTGTGTGTGTGTGTGTGTGTGTGTGTGTGTGTGTGTGTGTGTGTGTGTGTGTGTGTGTGTGTGTGTGTGTGTGTGTGTGTGTGTGTGTGTGTGTGTGTGTCATACAGCTACAGCTGTAAGATAAGGCCTGTGATCCAAGGACCCTGATGGCAAACACGCCTGTTAGAGTGTCCTGCCCACTGGTCAAGGACACACACACACACTTGAATAAAGCCACACAAAAGCGCACACACAAACACACATGTATAAAGCCACACACAAGCACACACACATACTGTACGGTGCATTCACACACGTCCACACAGTCACTTCTCCCTCCAGCTCGCTATGGCTAATGGCAGGGTGGTGACCTCTTGCAATGGGAACAGCAAGTGTCTGTATCCTGATAGAACTCATTGGTCTGTGAGCTAAT